TTTCACAAACAGAAAACAAAAACATTTTCCCAAACACTTACATTTATTTAAATTTACTTGAGTAGGGTTGGGGTTGCCACTTTAGCTTGCAGTCATGTTCTATAGTCTTGCTAGTGACCTACTAATTTTATTCAGGTGTGTTGCAACAGGGACACATGGAAACGTTTCAGGACACCGACCCTCGGAGACTGCAGTTTGAGACCCTTGCTGCAAAGTGAAAGGGACCAACACATTTATGATCATATTTAAGTGCATAGTGACATGTTTATATTGTTATTTATTAGAACTAATATTCCTGTGTCTTTATATTGAATTTGTCTGCAATTTTTGTAAGAATAATAAAATAAAAATAGAATAAGTTTTTAAAAAAAGCTTTACAAAAAACACCAAATATTTTAGACAGCTGAAGACTTAGGGAAGCTTCTGCCCCCCTAAAATAGGCCTAACAACGCCACTGCCTACAACCACAGATGGAGATTTAGGAGGTCTGCAGGTGTGCAGACATGTGTCAGTGTCAGGTATCGTCTCCGATGATAACTTCAAAAGGAGAAGACACAGAAGCTTCGGTAAGCTCCAATATTACCGTAGCAGCTAGACTTTTGTGAACATGAAGAGTAGCAGTAAGTCTGACTAGATAACAAAGCAAACTTTAAACTGAGCTTTTTTCACTGAAAATAAAGTACACCCTGTAAATGTTAGTCATAAATAATGGTAAAAATGTAAAAGGTGGTGCTGTACCTCCTCGAGTCCGTCTTCCTTGAATGTTATCTATGAAAATTAGAAAAACATCTGGAGATTAAGAGAGTTCACGTAATTTCAATCCTGGTCTTAACTTTGGAATTCAGTGACTTTTTTTCTCTTCTTATTTTTAAGTTTATTTTAAAATGTTATTACCTGGTTTTTAATATTATATTAAACAGAAACAAGCAATTTTGCATTTCGCAGCTCTGTTTCCTGCTTATTACACAGAAACTACCATAGGTAATTGAGTGGTAATAACTTATGAATTACCACATTATTATGTTCTTCTTTCTTCCTTGTTACCATACTATTACCACTTTATTACGGAGCTGTATTGCAATATTATTTCCCCCATTACTTGGGCTCTTGTTATCCTATTACATAAATTTCAGGGTAATATTACTCAGTTGTAACCGCTGTTGATATCATCATATTATTTAGATATTACATGGTGATTACTTAGGTAATTGCATAGTAATAAAGTAGGAATTACCACATTATTGCCCTCTTGTTTCCCTCTTGTTACTTTACTATTACCCCTTTATTAGCGAGCTGTAATAGAAAGTCCTACCTGTTTCTGTGATGAACTTAATATAGACCAGGTTAGCTCATCTATTAAAACTCACCACCACCTATGGCTCAGATGTAAAAGTGAACTTCACTTTGATTAAATTAAAAGACTGACTTCAGGATGAAAAATTGAATCAGTGGCTGCTTCAGTTAAATATGGTATGATTGGTCATTATATAAGTTATTAATAACGCTGGGCTCAGTACTTACTCACCACAGTACAAATGGTTAAAACACCAAGGTTGAGAGCAACATCTGCATTTAAGCATAAAATTGCATGTAGGCAATCTCAGTCTGTCACTGAACCTGCTCCTGTGACTGGCCAGCACGTCATGGAGTGGGTGGGAGGTATTGTCCAGTATTGTCCTTGGGATATTGTCATGGACAACATTCGCCTCTCTCACACAACCTTAAGGGAGTCCAGCTCCATCCCCACAACATTACTGGGCTTGCAGATCAGGTTAGTGAGTCTGTTGCATCTTGAGGGTTGCATCTGCAACCCTCAACCTGCTGCCCCAGCATGCAACAGCATAGAGGATGATACTGACTACAACATACTCACAAAAAATACTGAGCATGGTCCTGTTGTCCAAACCCACTGAGCCTTTCCTGTCTGACATGTGTTTCTTTGAAGCACGAAATCTCAGTTCTACCAAAATTCTTCTCCTGTTTTTAGTTCCCACATTTGTTTCTGTTTAGTTGTGAAAATTTTATCAAATTTATCAAACTGTTGACAAAAATTACAGACGATGTAACAGGGTAATAAAAAGGGCAGCCTTTTATTTATTTATTTAGTTAGTTTACAATTAAACAAAAAAGAAACAGCATGGATATTGGCAAATAAACAAAATCACACATTTCATATACGTTTGTTAAACAGGAAAGATCATGATCATTTACTCTGCTGTGATGGGTCATCAGTGTCTTAACTGAATTCTGTGTCTCAATAAATCATGTCCACTTCTTCCAGATGAATGTAATAATGATCTCTCCTTATTGAACGACATATGATTTACATAATAAACATCTTTGTTTGTATTCATAAAGCTTCAAAGTACATGGAGTTTAATAAATTATGATAAAATATTAAACATGAATTGTTAATTGTAAGATTTCTCTAACAAAAGATCAACAACTACATGTTGCTGTATTAACCAACATTAAATGTATGAAGTTCTGTATATACATAAAGCACACATTAAAATATTAATATAATATTTAGTCTGTTGTTTGCTTATAATTATATTTCAGTCAGCGTCATTATTAGTAGTAGTAGTATATGTCCATTACAGTGTGATATATTTGATATGACATTTTTTATTGTGACACCATTCTAATCTGTTTCATCAGTATTGGTCCACTTGGCTAAGAGGAGGTGGGGAACACACAAACATATATGCATTCATATGATTAGCGCCACAGCAGTGGCCGAGCCTCATCATCGTAAACCTCCATCTGGTTGGTGCAGCGAGCAAAAAAAAATGTAAAAACAAGAACACCTATGAGGATGTAGGTCAGGGTGATGCAACAAAATCCAAACAGGTAGAGCGTCTTGTTGCAGTAACGATTGCTGTCTGTAGTGTTCATGCCGTAGTCGAGTTCATGATTGGAGTAGATGAGAAAACTACCTAGAAAAATATGAGTAAGATCTCAGAAAATAAGGTCTGATCATGCTTGGCAACAACAAACATTGCTGTAATACATTAATTCTTGCATTAAAAAAACCCTATCATTTAGTAAACTTTAGTATGAATGACTTTTCAGATATAATGTTTGAACTCACAACCAAGTTATTATTTATTTGTATTTGTGTTTAAAAGCTGCATGACTGAAGTGAATTTAATTCTAGAGTGGCTAATTATTTATAATATTCTGGTTTCATTTTCAAACAAATACATTTAATTTTTTAAAGCCCTGCAAAAACGAAATCCTGCTCATTCTGTTGTCTTTCTTTAATGCTCACTTTCAGCTCTAGATTTTTATTCTTGGACTCCACTGAAGTTGATTTACATCATTAACACTTTTAAATAATGCTGATTCGTTTTATATTCTGCTTCTTGCAGCCTCTCAGTTCATCCTTTGTCTGTAACTAGAAGTTTTGATTCAAATTCAAATAACTTTATTAATCCCAAAAGGGCAATTTGTTCACAGCTTACAAACACTCCCTACTCACATGGTCAAACTCATGCAACCTATACTCTTTAAAGACCAATCACAAGCACTGTTACATTCAAGGCAGATATCACATAACAGACAATGAGGTCCAGGAAAAAAATTAATGAATACAATAATAAAAACAAATAAGTAGAATACAAGGTCATATGTATGTGTTTGGCTCCTCTTCCTTTAAGCCAACTTCCTTCTGATTGGCTACCTCTCATAAACTGACAGTTTGAACAGTAGGTGGCATGTTTGTGCTCACAGCCAGAGCTGTACAGAGCCAACAGTAGAAAAAGTCATAAACTGAGCATTAAGAGCAGTCTGGAGGCTGAATTGACAGGCTTGCATTTTCAGCAAGCACGGGGCAATAATTGTATCATTTTTCAAAAATTACTTTAAGTTTTGTTTTTGGTCTAATTTTTGTCATGAGAAGCTTGTCTTGGTCTTTGAGAAATATTCAAATGTCGGGTATGTACTGCTGTGCAGACTGTCTATTCAAAAAACAACCTTCACTGTTAAGAAGCTGAACATAACATTAAGCTTACTGCCACAATCTGACGCTACAAACTGTGGAGTTAGAGGTGTGGATCCAAAAGCAGAAGCATGGAACAAAACTCGATTTAAACAGAAAGCGAGCTGTTTAATAAGGCTGGTGAAACAGTTCAAAACAAAAGGCGAGAGCAAACCAAGGTGAAACTAAACAATAACCTAAACTGGGTAAACAAAAACTAGGCATGAAAACCTGGACTAGAGAGCCACGAATACCTGGAACATGATACGTGGTTAACAGACCACCCAACAAAAAATGAAAGAAAACTCACACACTAAATGCACACAGCGGTGGTGAGGGCAGTGGACACACATGGGAACACAGCTGGGACAGACATATTGACGCAGAGGGAAGCAAAATTGAACACACTGAGCACGTCGCAAGACGCATGACCGAGAGGGAGGAACGCACAAGAGTACAGGATTGACTGGAGACACAAAGGAAGGCGACACAAAGAGGGAAAACGGAAATAGTCAAGGGAGAAAGAAAGAGCGCGAGTGAGGGACAGGGAAGAACAGGGAGAACATAAATGAATACAAATGAACACAAAGAGGGGAGACAAGGAGTGACACACAAGGAGGGAATATGTAAGCCAAAGGGAGAAAAAATGCAAAGGCATGACTGAGACCCAGGAAACGAGGAGGCGAGTGACATGGAAGGAGACAGAGTTGAACACAGATGACACAACAGACACATACTGGCAACACAGAGGAGAGACAAGAGGAACCTAACAGACAAGAAACTAGACAGAAAATACAGAAACTCAAAACAGAATAAACTCACAACTAACTAAAGAACCTTAAACCATAAACATGATACATAATAATTACTAAACCTCAAGAAATTTAAAATACTGGGTCAAATAATCCAGAAACATGATACTTACCGAAGATAAACCAGGCCAAGCAGAAGATGAGGAACAGACAGTTGCAGAAAATACTGCACCTGCTCTTGCAATGGCTCAGTCCCCAGAAGACAGGTATGAATCCACAAATAACCATAAAGAGAGGAATGGAGGGCGCCCTTGGACAGTCATAAATGTACACGCATCCTACAAAGCACAAGCATGTAAATGAAGATGACTGTTGTTGCATAGTTCTTGTTATTTGATTTTTCAAATTTAATTTCCAACACATAAACTGAATCTAAATGAATTCAGTCTGAATATTGAGCCACTCACACTTACCAACTATCGCCTGAACAATAAACATGATGAAGAAAATGACAGAGACACACCCTGAAGGAAGACACGATATAGTTTCAGTTACAAATGACATCATGCAGCAGCTGCAGATGTGTGCAAAACTGTTCAAAATCACTTTCTTACTTATGATTCGAGGTATGCAAGTGTGTTGAGGTCTATCGCTCTCTGGCATCATGACTAGAGACAAAGAAAGCTGTGAGACAAGCTCAAGATGTCTTTAACTGTCTGAATAAGAGAAATGATACATGCCCACACAGCAAGGTAAAAATCTAATGTGGAAAAAGAAAGATCTAAACTTTTTGTGTGTTTCATGTTGTTAACAAATAATAAAACAGATGTATTATATGACAGCAATAAAAAGTGTGTTAGTTTAAATCGTTTGTTGTAGCCGTACCTGCCTGCATGTCTTCTTTTAAGGGCGAGAAAAGAACGTCGTGGCGAGTCTTGGCAGCGTGTTCACAACATGTCTCGAAGTGTTGTGGGCATACATGAATGTGCTGTTGTTGTCTGAACTTCCTGTTACAGGGTCTCATTGCACTGAGAGCATTTGCGATGAGGATTCATGGGCCATTTACTCAGATAATCAGTCGGGAACTGATTGAAGCAGGATTTGATGTCAACAGTCCAGGGTATGGCTCATTTTGTACGTCCTGTGGTCCTTCCTGATGACATTTTCAGCTAAAAGCCTAACATGATTCTCATTTGGGGAGAAGTTCCCATTCTTTGACTTAAATCTGACGGCTGCCTCAGCTCCTTTTCATCATTGAATTCCTCCTCATCATTCATTTCTTGGTCTGGATTATATTCTGTCAGTTTCCTTGCTCCTCTCCTCCTCACCACTGCAGTGATCAAATATGTAGAGCCTCACTTAGGGTGCATCAACTGTAAGTGCTAAAATTATACTGTTACTCAAACCATCCAGTCATTCTCTAAAATTGAACATTAACTTTCTTAAAAGTGCTTTAAAAGTCCAAATACCCACAGCTACAAACATCTGGCTGGCAGTACCCCTTCAAGGTATCCTTGCAAAGGATTCTCATCGCATCATTATATGCAGCATGCAGCTTCTGCATGCTACGTTGTTTATAGGATGACCACAAGGGGGCAGTATATAGCGGTGTGCAATACGCTTTAAACAAAGCCACTTTAACTGGAAGTGAACAAATGCTGAATTTGCGTGCAATAGTATTTGCCTGCACATAGAGCTTACATCGTTGTCTGTATATGTCATCATCATCATTCATTTGCTCAGTAATAAAGTGACTGAGGTATTTAACCTTTTTATGAACTTCAAGAGTTTTTTGTGTAAGTTTAAACACAGGGAAATTTAGCAAGCTATCCTGCTAGGTTCTCCATATCAAGACAGCTCTTCTAACAGCATTGTACTTTATATCATATAGCACACCATATTCAGTACAGACATTAAGAAGCGCCTGTAAACCAGCACTGCTTGGACAAAAAACAACCAGGTCACCTGCATACATGAGATGATTTATCAATGTTTTACCTATAATATACACCCAGTGTTACAGGCTCTCAGCATATAGATTAAATGTTTGTCAACATTTAAGCTATATGTTGACAAATCATCAACATATAGATTAAATAAAATTGGAGACAAAATCCCACCCTGTCTGACACCATTGCTGACACCAAAGGGGGCAGAAATACTGCTTCCCCATTTAACCTGCGTGCTCTGATGAGCGTACCAGTAAGAGAGAATCCTCACGATGTATTGAGGAACTCCCCGTCTCTTCAGTTTATCAAAAAGTTTTCTGTGGCTCACTTGATGCCTTAGGCATCAATGAAACACATGAGGACAGATGAATTTTTAGCCCTATACAAACTGACTATTTCCTTGAGTGCATATATGCACATGTCAGTGCCGTGCTTTGGTTTGAAGCCAAACTGATTATTCAGAGACGAGATGAACACACTAAAAACAAGATTCTTTTTAACACCTTAGATAAAATACTGGCTAGTGTAATCGGCCTGTAATTATCCAAACAGCTCACTTTTGCGGCTTTGTCCTTCATAACTGGTACCAATAAAATACACAGCATTGAGTCTGGTAATATGCCACGAATCATAAACCTAGTGAAACAGAGCGCTAGTAGAGGAGCCTTAAACTAGCATGTTTTAAATGTTCTGCAGTGATGTGATCCAAACCAGAGGATTTATTATCAGACAACCTATGAATGGCTTCATATACTTCATGTGTCCTTACACTTATTGTGTCATTACTCATGTCAAAATTGTCCTCATATGGATCACTTTTTATACAGTTAAACAACGCACTGTAATGCTGTCTCCATAATGCTGCAATGTTATCTGCCCCAGAAACACCTTCAACAGTTGATGGTAGAGATGGTTTACAGTTATTAAGAGCTTTCACCTCTTTCCAAAAATCTGTCATATTATTACACAGCATTTTCCTGGCCAAAGAATCTGCTCTCACCATTTGCTCATTTTTAGTTATAAAGCGAACAGCGTACTTATATCTGGCATTCGCACATTTTTCTGTTCAAATTCTGGGCCTTGTTTAGGTCTTCCAGCCATGGCCCAACATTTATAAGCTATGGGAGCTTCATCATGGTACATGGATACATGTTCTTTCCAGCCAGGTCTGATGTTAGGTCTCTTATGCTTATATTGTTTATCAAGCAGTGTGCCACTTTTATACAGAGCAGTCACTATATCATCATACATGCAGCAGAGTAAATGTTTATGCACAGCATTCTTACAGTTGACACCCTTGCACAAAATAGCTTCTTTGGGCAAAGAAATGTTGTTCAGATGTATATCGGTATTACTATGATAAGCTAAGAAATCATCTTCACTACATGCTGACCAGTCTAATTTTACACTGGTAATATTATTTCCAGTTGTTGCTGGCATTTGTTCCACATTCACAGTAAAACCAAAAGGTATATGATCTGACACAGTTACCTCATACCCAATGTTCCCTCTAATTTTTCATGTGTCTGAGCAAACACACAAACTCCCTGAGCGATCCCGTGGACCACTGTGAGCAACAGCAGACGTGTGCACTGTGGTCACGCCAGCATCGAATCCATCCAAGTTACATGGTTTATTAAAATAATCAAATTACAGCATTTACATTTACGTTAGACTACTTTTAATTAACTGCTTTAGCCCACTTACAATGAAAACTTTAATAAATCTTGTTCATGACCTGTGTAGTATGGTTAACACTACTGGAAGTAAAAATAACTTGAACTCCAATTTTGAAAACACAACTTTCTTTCTTTCTTTTTTAATAAAGCTCTGACTTGTACTATGAGTCTGTGATCTGGGAGAGAGTCCTGTAACTCTCTCTGCAAAATATAGTATATGATGACCAATGTTGGGCAATTAATTATATAGTTACTTCTTCAAAAAAGTAACTGAGTTTTGCAAACAAAGTTTTTTGCAGCTGTTTAACCTAAAAATGCAACCAAGACATTTTTTTAAACAAACATTTCAAATTATTTACAGAACAATCAGCTGTTCTGCATCAAATCTGATGTCACACAAATTATTTGTGCCACTCCAAAAAATAATTTCTGTCCACTATGAGATAAAGGAGAACATCACAAGCCTGATACCTGCAGGCCTGACAACAGGAGATGTATCACTCCTGTAACACCTGTAACATTCAGCAGTCACCTCATTGTTCTGACACACAACAAAACTATTGACTACACTACACACTAACTACACAAGATTTGCGCTAAATGTCGTAAATCACTCCTAAAACTTCCCCCCTCCCTAATCAACTAAGTACCATGTTTTGATTGGTCGACATGGTATATTTTTTGACCAATAGGAAATGGTGGGGGTGTTTTGTTTTTGTTTGTTGCTCACAGGCGGAGAGCGCTTTCGAGCGTTTTCCTTATAAAACGCCGTTTTTACTGTTTCTTCCCGCAGTAAATATAAACAACGACAGTAGACAGCTTCCGGTGTAAAAATATGTCCCCCGCACACCCCCATTCCCGGGCTTAAAAACCTGGCACGCGCACATGCACGCGCATTCACTCAGCCGGAAAAGGGGCACTTCCGGGCCAAGCGGTTCCACTGTGCACGCTCTGTCTTCTCCTAGTTAGGTTCATCAGTCGCTGTGGGCATTTTGGCTTTTCATGGTAAATTTATAAAAACAGGAATTACTGGAACTATTAGTGTCAGGATACTTTTTTAGAAAGACTTTTGTTGTTAGACAGTCGAGCTGAAAGGGCCAATTGTGTGTGTGTGTGTGTGTGTGTGTGTTGGATTCTCACATTGTTTTTAACAACTGCGCTTTGTTGACTGTTTCAGACTTTCAGACGCCGTGTATCTCAAGAAATGGGGAGATGAACTGCTTTTTGTCTGTTTTTGAGGGTGGGGGAAAAAAGATAAAGGTTGATAAGGGCCAGCGAACTCCTTCCTTGAGCCTGACACCCGCACGTTAGTTTGTGTATTTGACCGTCTAAATTTCAAATTGTTTAGACAAAATATGCATTGACTTTTGATGCCATCTTCAAAACATAGATGTGCAATACATTATTTTAATCTTGTTTATCAACCGCTGTATGCATTTTGATTTTCAGTGTGAATTTGTACAAACAGGGCCCTGTTTCAGGAAGCCGGTTTAGTGCAAACTCTGACTAAGTATACCGTGAGTTAACGAAAACTCTGGGTTTTCGGTTTCACAAAGCGAGTTCAGCTGCAGCCTGAGTGAGTCACTATGACGACACACTCCGTGAAGCTAACCTGCCCCCTAGCAGGTTTACTACAACTAACCCTGACTGTCTCCGCCCCTTTGTTGGAAACCTGACAGTAGGAAGTGTCGGACATGGCGTGCCACTTCCTTGAAGAGCCAGTAGATCGTGAAGCCCAAATTCTCCGCAGAGCTCTCCGCCGGGAGAGAGTGATCAGAGCGCGTTTGGACATTTTATCATTTCCTGATGATTTTCTGTGCGAACGTCACCGTTTCTCAGCACAATCTATAAGTTATTTGGATAACATCCTCAGGCCATATATTACGCATGTGACACATCGTGGACATCCTCTCAGTTCTGTACATATTATTTGTATTGCACTTCGGTTTCTTGCAAACGGGAGCTTTCTGTATAATATTGGTGACGCTGAGCACGTTTCCAAGGCTACCGTCTGTCGGGCAGTCAGGAATGTTACAGTTGCACTGAAACGTCTCCTGTACTCGTTTGT